AAAAAAAAAAAAATGAAATAGAGGCTAAAAAAAACAGTAGAAATGATCATTGAAACTAAAAGCTAGTTCTTTGAGAAGATAAACAAAATTGACAAATCCTTAGCCAGATTCGCTAAGAAAAAAAGAAGGCTCAAATAAATAAAATTAAAAATGAAAGAGGAGAAATTACAATAGATACCACAGAAATACAAAGGATTATAAGAGAATACTATGAAAAACTATATGCCAACAAATTGGACAACTTATAAGAAATGGATAATTTCTTAGACTCATACAACCTCCCAAAACTGAATCAAGAAAAAATAGAGAATCTGAATAGACCAATCACAAGTAAAGGGATCAAAATGCTCATCAAAAACCTCCCAAAAAACAAAAGTCCAGGACCAGATGGCTTCTCTGGAGAATTCTACCAAACATTCAAAGAAGACTTAATACCTATCCTTCTCAAACTATTTCAGAAAACTGAAGAAGACAGAACACTTCCTAACTCGTTCTATGAGGCCAGCATTACCCTGATACCAAAACCAGACAAGGACAGCACAGAGAAGGAAAATTACAGGCTAATATCACTGATGAACATAGATGTAAAAATTCTCAATAAAATATTGGCAAATCAAATACAGCAATACATTAAAAGGATCATACACCATGAAGTGGGATTTGTACCAGGGATGCAGGGATGGTTCAACATACACAAAATAATCAATATGATACACCACATTAACAAAATGAGAAATAAAAATCACATGATCATCTCAATAGTTTCAGAGAAAGCACGTGACAAGATCCAACATCCATTTATGATAAAAACCCTCAATAAAATGGCTGTAGAAGGAAAGTACCTCAACATAATAAAGGCCATATATGACACACCCACAGCCAACCTCATTCTTAACAATGAAAAACTGAAGGCCATCCCTCTGAGAACAGGAACAAGACAAGGGTGCCCACTCTCACCACTCCTATTCAACCTAGTACTGGAGGTTTTGACCAGAGTAATTGGGCAAGAAAAAGAAATAAAAGGTATCCGAATTGGAAAGGAAGAAGTAAAACTCTCACTGTTTTTGGATGACATGGTTCTAGATATAGAAAACCCTAAAGAACCCACCAGAAAGCTATTAGAAATAATCAACTACAGCAAAGTTGCAGGGTACAAAATCAACTTACAAAAATCAGTTGCATTTCTATACACTAATAATGAACTAGCAGAAAGAGAAGTCAAGAATACAATCCCATTTACAATTGCAACAAAAAGAATAAAATATCTAGGAATAAATTTAACCAAGGAGGTGAAAGACCTATACACTGAAAACTATAAGACATTATTGAAAGAAATTGAAGAAGACATAAAGAAATGGAAAGACGGTCCATGCTCATGGATTGGAAGAATAAACATAGTTAAAATGTCCATATTACCTAAAGCAATCTACAGATTCAGTGCAATTCCAATCAGAGTCCCAATGACATTCTTCATGGAAATAGAACAAAGAATCCTAAAGTTTATATGGAACAACAAAAGACCCCGAATACCCAAAGAAATCCTGAGAAAAAAGGACAAAGTTGGAGGTATCACAATCCCTGACTTCAAAATATACTACAAAGCTATAATAATCAAAACAGTGTGGTACCAGCACAAAAATAGACACACAGGTCAATGGAACAGAATTGAAAGCCCAGAACTAAACCAGACATCTGTGGACAGCTGATCTTTGACAAAGGAACCAAGAGCATACAATGGAGAAAGGAGGGTCTCTTCAATAAATGGTGTTGGGAAAACTGGACAGCCACATGCGAAAGAATGAAAGTAGACCATTATCTTACACCATACACAAAAATTAACTCAAAATGGATTAAAGACTTGAATGTAAGACCTGAAATTGTAAAACTCCTAGAAGAAAGCATAGGCAGTACACTCTTTGACATCAGTCTTAGCAGCATCTTTTTGAATACCATGTCTACGCAGACAAAGGAAACAAAAGAAAAAATAAATGAGAGGGAGTGCATCAGGCTAAAAAGCTTCTACAAGGCAAAGGAGATCATGAATAAAACAAAAGGACAATCTACCAGCTGGGAGAAAATATTTACAAATCATGTATCTGACAAGGGGTTAATTTCCAAATTATGTAAGTAAAGAACTCATGCAACTCAACAGCAAAAAGACAAACAACCCAATGAAAAAATGGGCAGAGGATATGAACAGACATTTTTTCCAAAGAAGATATACAGATGGCGAACAGGTGCATGAAAAGATGTTCAATGTCACTGATTGTTAGAGAAATGCAAATCAAAACTATAATGAGATATCACCTCACACCCGTCAGAATGGCTATAATTAACAAGATGAGAAATAATAAGTGTTGGAGAGCATGTGGAGGAAAGGGAACCCTTGTACACTGCTGGTGGGAATGCAAACTGGTGCAGCCACTATGGAAAACAGTATGGAGATTTCTCAAAAAATTAAAAATAGAAAAACCAGATGATCCAGCTTTGGTATTTATCCAAAGAACATGAAATCAACAATACAAAGAGATCTATGCAACCCTATGTTCATTGCAGCGTTATTCACAGCGTTATTCACAATATCCAAGATGTGGAAGCAAGCCAAGTGACCATCAACTGATGAATCAATAAAGAATCGATAAAGAAGATGTGGTGTGTGTGTGTGTGTACACACACACACACACAATGGAATACTACTCAGCCATTAAAAAAGACAAAATTGTCCCATTTGCAACAACATGGATGGACCTTGAGGGTGTTACGTTAAGTGAAATAAGCCAAACAGAGAAAGACAAACAGCGTATGGGTTCACTCATATGTGGAAGATAAACACATGGATAAAGAGAACAGATTAGTGGTTACCAGAGGAGAAGGGAGGGTGGGCAAAAGGGGTAAGGGGGCCACATACATATGGTGATGGACTAAAACTAGATTATTGGTGGTGAAAAAAAAGGTACTGTTTGTCAAAGTTAACTTTGTGCAGGTCGGTAAGACCTAGACCAAGGAATGTTTGCATATATTTAACTTGTCTTTTTATTTCTTTTTTTTTTTTTTTTTGTGAGGAAGATCAGCCTTGAGCTAACATCCGTGCCAATCCTCCTCTTTTTGCTGAGGAAGACCGGCCCTGAGCTAACATCTATTGCCAATCCTCCTCCTTTTTTTTTTGTTCCCCTTTTTCTCCCCAAAGCCCCAGTAGATAGTTGTATGTTATAGTTGTACATCCTTCTAGTTGCTGTATGTGGGACGCTGCCTCAGCGTGGCCGGACAAGCAGTGCGTCGGTGTGCGCCCGGGATCCGAACCCTGGCCGCCATTAGCGGAGCGCGTGCACTTAACCGCTAAGCCAAGGTGCCGGCCCCCTAAACTTGTCTTTTTAAGTAAGAAAAAAAAATGGAGTTGGCTCTTTATTACACTTACATATGTATACTTTTTATGGTGGGTCATACGTTGTTGTGTGACCTGATTTTTAAATCTGTTTTAGTAGTTTGCCATGGGATACAATATTATTCTATGTCATCATTTATACTGACTGCATAATATGAATATAGATATATATATTTGACCTATCCCTTATTGTTAGCAGATTAAATTGTAATTTTTGCTGCTATAAATATTACTTGGTGAGCATCCCTGCAGTTAAATCTTTTTTAATATTTTTGATTGTCTTCTTTAGAATGCCTAGAAATGGAATTACTGTGTCAAAGGGCTCTGTTTAAGTAATTTACTATGTGTTGTTAATTATCTTGCAGAAACTTTGAAACATTTTTGTTTGCCTCAGTGATGTAGTGAGAGTGCCTATTTCTCCAAATGCTTGTCAGTTCTGAATATTATTCTTTAGCAATCATTACCAATCAACAGATAGAAAATCGTTATCTGGGCCGGCCCCGTGGCTTAGCAGTTAAGTGCGCGCGCTCCGCCGCTGGCGGCCCGGGTTCGGATCCCACGCGCGCACCGACGCACCGCTTCTCCAGCCATGCTGAGGCCGCGTCCCACATACAGCAACTAGAAGGATGTGCAGCTATGACATACAACTATCTACTG